ACAAAGAGCGAATAGCGTAGTAACAGTGTCTTCCGAAAGTTCAATGTCCGACTCGTCCAAGCCCCCGAACGAACAGAATCAAGAAAAGGATCACAATGTCATCGGCGAGCCGACGATTTTTCTAGACGGTCCAGAAGTCCGCCAATACCTCGAGGACAGCCCCGGTGGAGGACTTGGGCACGCAAGTCGCGCGTGCGGCGTCGACTTCCCAGCCATCTTCGCAGGTCTGAACAATGCACCGGCCGGACACGCACGAGACATCGCCAGCATGGTCGATGGCAGTGCAGTCTACTCCTGTCGCCGCGGTGGGCAAGATGGTGGGCAGGAGGAAGGGGTTGGGGATAACACATCCACCGCCTGTGCAAAGCAAACACAAACGTCAACAACAATCATCAGCATAGTGCCACAACGTACAGCTCTCGAGGTTCTTCTGGGTATTGATGCACTCATACGCGTACTTCGTGGAGCCGTATACACCGCAGACCTCCTCGTGACTCCTGCATGAAGACTGCGCGTCCGCGTGGAGGGTCTGACGACGTGCGTGAGGCTGAGGGACAGCTGAGTTGCACACCTGTCGCACAAGATATATTAGCCCAGGTTATACTCGAGCAAAACCGGCGGCATACCCCGGTAGGAGTCTTGACGCATTGACCGTTGCAAAGAGTGTAGGGAGGCTCGCACTCGCACTTGTCGCCGACCTTCACGAACGGAGGCTTGCAGTCAAAGTTGCAAGGGTCGCTTGAGCAAGCAGGGATGGAGTGCTCGGGGAACGTGCACTGCTTCTTGGTCGGTGCAGTGTTGATCTACATATCAAAGCGTATGAGATTTGGTCCGCGGAGTAAGGAGAGGTACGTACCAGGAGTTCGACGACAGCATTGATAAGAGGAGCGCCGAAGTCGTTGATCAGCGCGTCGAGTTGTGCGCTGAGGCCAAGCTTGAGCGGCAGGGCCGAAAGACACAAGCAAAGCTTGAGGCCAAGGATGTCCTTGAGCGGGATGCCGAGGAGCTCGCTCTGGCCGAGGAGGGCGTCCGTGTCGATGTTGGCACACACGTCAAGGAGCGGCTCACGCGTCTGCAGGTAGTGGAACTGACGGGCAGCGACCACCTCGGTCATACGCCTTGAGAGCTCGGCGTCCGAGGGGCGCACGGTCCTCGTCGCGCGCGAGTAGTCGCGGTTTGGCCGAGCGAAGACAGCGGAGGTGGCGGCCAAAAGAGTCATGAGAGCGGCGGAGACACGCATCTTTTATTCCTGCTAGGACGACGGGGGGAACTGGACGGGGGCGGGTCGACGAAGACGGGAATGGGGAGCAAATGTTGGATGCGACGGGGTGTCTTATACGCGCGCGGCGGAAGGGTGTGGCGCCCGACGCGGCATGTTTGGTGATGTTTTACGGACAATTTTCTGGTGTTCTTGGTGGAGTTCTAGACGATGGACGTGCCATAGTACGAAGAAGCGTCGGAGTGACACTGAATCCACGTCAAGACTTGCCGGATATAGGGTGCTTCCTTCCGCATTTGGCGCGTCGGTGCCTTGCTTCTGTGCTTCTACTGCGCCTGCACTGAACGCCCGACGCCCGCTCCGAGTGGGCACATCGTCGGTCTCCAGGGCGGCCGGTCTTCGCAGAGGGGCTAGGCACAAGCATCGGACGCCACTTGCTAAGGACACGGGGGTGGCGGTGAGCGAGGGGGAAGACAGCAGACGACGAGAGGGGATGCCGACGCACAGAGACTGCGGCGGCCGCGTAAGATGAAAAGACGTCGGCTTCGGCCAATTTCGCTAACGGCCGACATGAACACCTTCCTCGCCTCGTCCAGAAAACCCACCCTGGCGAACGGCGTCTTGCACAGGCGCGGCTGATGAGCGCAGGACATTCGAGGCCAGCTGGGAGAATTGGAGGCTTGGATGGGGAAAGACGCGTTCGCACACGTAAAGGTAGCTGTCGTCGCTGCCGAAGTACGCTCGACGCGTTACGGGGAGTCGGGGAAAGCGGTGCACGAACGGGTCGACGTGCGAAGGCCGTGTGTGGCGCCGACGTTCGGTGAGCGTACCTGCTCGCGTGCCTGCGCGTTGTAGACGCGTTTTCACCGAGGGCGGACGAACGTGTTCGAGTCGAACCTGCAGAACGCGAGCTGAGTCCGCGCTAATCGGTTCGTCGATGTTGGTCTTGACATGATCCCGAGTTTCGAGGCGAATACCCCACCCACGTCGTGTCCGCATCGGCCAAAGCGATCCCATTCGTAGCCTCCCTTAGCTCGATTCTCCATCTTCGTTATCAAAGATATGTCGGATACATGCCTGATGTCCCACATGTCAGATACAGTATTTAGCATTTCGCGCCTTCCAGATACCAGAAACGCATCTGGCGTGGCACGATGAGGTTATAAGAACGTAATAACCCTTTGACAGGACGAACAGTCTCACAGAAACACATTCCAACCCTGAGACACACTCCTATCGGCCGCGTAAGCCCGCGTGTACGCTGATGGTGTACTGCGGCGATAATTCCAGCTCGAAGAAGCCGATCACTGCGCTTGTGTACCAGTCTAGGCCTCGCGCGGGGGAGAGGACGTGGCACGGCAATTACGGGCTTCGTGAAACATCTTCGAGCTCTCGTACGACGACTGCGGGTAACCATTACGAGACATTCCGAGGCGTTGCTTTGTGAGGGAGATGGGCGCGCCGTGCTCGGCCCAGTCTACGAAAAAGAACTGGGGAAAGTTAGAAAAGAAGGGGACAAAGTGGGCTCGTGTGCCCTGTACACTCACCTGTTCGTCATCACATTGGTGATATATTAAAGGAACTCCTACTGTACGGGAGTGAGAACATGCATGCACAAAGTTTGTCTGGTCGTCGCGGTCGTCGAGATTGTTGTCAGAGTCAAAGTCGCGACAAAGCGGCATCAACGCCTCGCGCGCAACGCAGATTCACCTGAGATTACCTCAGGCGCCGACATCTGCGCGCATGCGCACTTACTGTACCATGCTTCGACTATTGATGTTTTCATCACACAAATCAATATCAAACATGAGCATGACATTGAGCAGAACATCCAACAAAAGGTAAACAACCCCACCCCAACCCAGGTCTGATCTGCAGGCAGCAGAGCAACAGACTGCAGAGGAAACAACACGAAAGGGGGAGATACCAGCACCAGCTCAGGCCCAACAACTGTTGTCCCGCGAAATGCCTGCCATCTCCCCCTAAGGCATCACCCCTCCACAGCCATCCCTGCACGGCCTACAGACCATACACCCCACTTCTCATGTCCCCTCGCTTGTCCTCACCGGCCTATTCCTCCACCCCCTTATTCACACACCCGCAAATGCCAGACATACACCACTCCAGCCCCACAGATGCCCGCCACGCGCACAACACTGCACGGGCCACCCGTAGCAAACCTCCACTGTACCCGTAGGTCCCGTCCCGTACATCTCCTGAATACACGGTGTAGACGATCGGGACCCGGAGGTCCTTCGGCCCTGGCATTGCGAGCTTCGAGGCGATGCCGCACACCATAGCCCCAGTGTAGTGTGGGCGGTATGGGGTCTGTAGCACCAACAGGCTGGCCATGTGTGGAGGGACCAGCCCCGATCTGTGGTGCGTCGCGGCCGTCGAGGGTTCAGCCTTTGGGTATAACCTGCGCTGGATGGGTGGGTTAAGGCGGCAATGAGCAGCCTGTGCTAGTTCATTCTGTGAGAAATATACGTGCACGGTGTGAGCATAGATGTAAGGGGTGTGAGTGAGATGAAGCACAGACTGCCTGGTTGTGTCTATAATGCCCAACCACCTGTGGTAGACTTGCGTTGGCGGTGTCGCGGCGGCGGTTCGTTGCGGTAGCGTGCACGCTTGAGTGCTCTTTGAGAGCTAGCCAACATTGCTCAGGCGAGCGAAGGGGTCGTATGTTCGTTTCTTTCGTGTTCGACGTCGCTAGCAGAGGAAGAGGTAGAGTAACTTGTGTCGCTGTAGCTATGGCTGGTGCTGATGCTGAGACGAGCCCTGCTCAGACGGTCTTATATACCTTTTCGCCCCCATCTCCCATGCGACGCGGCCGTGCACGAAGGGATAATGGAGGGGCCCATGCGCCTTGTTACCCAAAGGGCCACAACAAGCGAGTGGCCCATCATATGGCCACTGGGCCAGTTTCTTTGTGACGCGCGCGGTGCGAGAACACTCGTGTGGCGGTGTCTGGGTAATCGTTCGTTTGGTCCTGCATCCCATTGTGCAGCTCTTCCCAAACACGTCAACGACACTGCACTGGTGGAGGATAAGGATCTTTCGCGCTTTGTATGTTGCAGAGATATCTCGTACCACAAGACCAATTCGGACGTGGAGCCTCTTCCAACTCCTACTCTTGCAAGTGGCCAAAAAGACAGACGTGTAGTCAAGGAATGTGATGCAGACACAACGACGCGACGCCATCCCGCGCCACACTGAGCGGGCGGACCTAGCGTCGTCGCACTCCATCACAACAATCGACGACAAGCAGAATTCCAGCGGCCGGCAGCCAAGTTACACAAAGCTATCGAGTTCCTGAGGACTATGCGTGGGGGTGAAAGGACCGCGAGGAGGCCAAGGGATGCAAGCCGTCCTTTGCAACGATGGGGTGAACGATGGTGTTCTTCACCACACCAGGGACAAAGCTTCGTTTGCGTCGTCGTTCGAGGGCCTCCGACATCTCTTCACGCGTTTTAGCGGTCGCGGACTGTATGCGATCTTTGTTCGATACTGGAAAAAGCGGCTTTGAAGTGATGCTCCTTGCATGGAGGACAACAGAGAGTTTGTGCGAGAGTTTAGGTCGTCGTCAACCGCGTTTGCTGGGGTGTCCATTTCGCAAGACATCTTCATCTCTAACGCATTCACGGCCGTTGCTTTCAGCTCTTCCTGAATTACTTGCGCAAGATAGTGGTGAGTACAGTAGAAAGATGCGAAGGCGACGAAAGCAACACCCCACGGACGCCTTGGTGTGCTGATGGCCTACGTGTAAGGACAGTTGACATTGTCCCTGGTAGTATATCGGTTAGTACACGCGCCTGTCATGACTCGGCAAAAATACACTTCGCGCGAAAGCGGGGTTCGACTCCCCGCCAGGGAGAATCCTTTTTGTTTGTGTTGACAGATCTGTAACTTGCTGTTTTCTACGGCACAGTAGGAATTGCAGGGCACGCTGAAACGCTCGCATCTCATTCATAAGTCATATGCATAGACACCCTAATGAAAGAAAACTGTGCGCTCGTGTTCAAGACCAGTCTAGACCACTGCTATCACCCAATTCTACAAGAATATCTACAATCTATTCGACACAGCGACATATCCACCCAGAAAACCCACAAACACAGGGGACCGAAACATTCAAACATGGCTTACAATCGCGCCGAAACCTCCGGCACCGCGAGTTGCCCAAGGATGCGCGAGATGATCTGCGTCACCTCGTCCGTCTTCTCTTGCACAACCTATAGCACATTGAGCACGGCACTCCCGGAGCAGACATGAAAGAAAGTAGGCTCGCCATATGCCCGACGTCCTCGACATGCGTCACGGACGCCCACACTCGCCCCTTCTTCTTGTCCACCATCGACTCTCGCACCATCGTCGGCCTGGCACGCGCGGACGCACAGTCAGACGGCTGAAATACAGACGCGATGGAAGGTGAGGGCACTTACATGAGGTCGAATTCTGTCCCGAGCACCATGTGGATCGGCACGCGCCCTTGTATAGCAGCTGCCGTCTCGAGCCCGTCCCATGTAATCTCGAGGTTGAGGAAGAACGCGTCTGCCTCCTGCATAGCGGGCGTCTTGCGGCGCACGACTACCTTGCCGCTTGCGTCTGTTGTCTCGTATAGCGCGTGGTCCTACAGCGAAAAGCGATGGATATGCGTATTAGCGCACAATATAGCATGTGGTACACAGAATGAGTTGATGCGCACTACGTAAACCTGCACGATCCGCGGGTCCCAGCAGTCATACGGGTACTGGTTCAACAAGCTCTTCAGCGCATGTTCGCGGCTCGCCCAGCCGTCGCGACGCATCTTGGCGCCTTTCGACACAAGCTCCGTGACGGGCTGGATCTCCTTGTGGTGGTCCCGCCACATCTCGGAGTCCATCATGGACGGGTCGATCAGGATCATGCCGCAGTAGGACATCGCGCCGTTGAGGTATTCGGTGGATAGGGAGCTGAGGGCGGTGTGAGCGAGGAAGAGAATATATAGAGAGGAAGGAACGTACATTGCGACTGTGCCTGAGGAGAATCCGAGCCCAACGAGACGGTGCCCATCTACTCGACCAGACTTGATGAACCCCGCGATTGCTGCTGCCCACACTCTCAAGTCTGTGGCACCATAATTAACATTAACCTCGTCGCTACGAGTCATGCATGTTTCCGCACGTACCGACAACTTTCGTGTTATTATGCAGGATGTCGGCATTGAGTAGTGCACTGTCGCCGTGATGCTGCCAATCGAATGTCCACGCTTCACGAATACGAGGATGGCGTTGAGAGTGAAGAGAGAAGAGCATCTCGAGGATGGGATCCCATTGCTCTTTATCTACATTCGACAGAGGTTAATCGAGAGCACACACAAGGACACCATAGGGGTCTCGGGCAGAAGATGAGAGACGTACGTTGTCCGAGCCCATGACAGCATATCAGCGTGAATCCGTCGGCATTCTCTCGTCCAGCGGAGGGCGATGTGTACCGCTTCGCGGCGATCTTGATATTCGGAGCATACCCCTCCAATTGCGGTGTGTTGAATACGAACGGCTCGATGTGCATCATGGTGGTGCGTTGAAGAGTTGAGGGCGGCGCAGCGTTGTAGTAGGATAAATGGATGGAAGGAATGTTTGGGGTCCGAGGAAAAGCAAATCAAACAGGCAGATGGCCGCAGACAAGGGTCACGGAGCACAGGCCCTTTGATAGACGTGACTTTGGAAATGCTACAGTAGGAACACTGCGGCCTGCGACGGAGATGCTACAGCCCTGCGTGCATGCGTGCTCAATGTAGAGGTTGCATGCATGATGAGTTCCTGGCAAGTCAAGGTTGCGGCGACTTCAGAGGCGAGATCATGGGGTGAGTGCAATCGGAACCTTGGCAGAACGAGCGCCATGCATGCGATCCATGGTCCGGTTGATTCTAGTTTCGTGTTTTCCTGGGAGTGATTTGCTGGACGATGGTCAGCACAAGATGGTAAACAAGGAGATGCAATTGTAGGTGGCTAAGTACTGCATACCCATCCAAGTCTGAGCGACCTCATAACATGCAAGGCCATGTTGCAATAACACGTTGAGTCCGATAGTGTCGGTGAAACGACAAACCGAGATGCCAGCGACGCCACATCGTGATGCCCGCTGCTACAAGAGAGCGTGCTAATTGATGTACGCCCGTTCATAGATCACATATCGATCACGTAGAGTTATAAGTTCAGGCAGCTGCTGTAACCCAGGGTGTATGAACTTTGAGCTTAGGTAACCGCGGTAGATAAGTAGAGCGTTATTGAAGGGCGAATCGAATGGGCGCGATGAGGACGACGGTGAACGGGCGCGAACGCCACGAGAAGTGCGCTTCCTTATTTGGAAATCGTCCAACTTGAATGTCTGAACCGCGACCTTGGTCAGTTTTCGGTTTTTTGTTCATCGTCGCCATAAAACCTTCTATCTTTCTGATATATCATAAGCATAGGACTGCATCTCAACAAGCAAGCCGAGATAACTCTCAGTTCCGACTTTTTTTTTCACTCCGGAAAAGCCCATGTACTACGTCTGGCCCAGTTTCGTGACTGCCTGATGATCTACAGCATACCAATCCCCGATCCTTTAAAGATTCTGAAAGCATAAGATTATTCACACCGCGTGAGCGCAAGGATAGAAAGGACGGATTAAATACTCTCGCACATAGTCGCGCAGAGATCTCCGGGACCGCGAGTTGACCAAAAATGCGTGAGATGATCTGCGTCACCTCATTCATTTTCTGTTGTACAGCCTGGAGCACGCTCAGTACGGCACTCGCAGAACAGATTGGAACTGGAGTACCCCCACAATATTGTCCCACGTCTGCAATGCACGTCATCGACGCCCACACCCGTCCTTTCTTTGTGTCTACCGCTGTCTTTCTGACAATCGTCGGTCGACCACACACGATCAGGCTATGAGGGTATTCAATACACAGGAGGACTTGCATCAGATCAGACTCAGTCCTGAGTACCACGTGAATTGGCATGCGTCCTCGGATGGCGGTCGCCGTCGCGAGCCCGTCTCAGGTGATTTCGACGTTAGGGAAGAACGCGTCAGCCTCTTCGATAGCAGGTGTCTTGCGGTGTACTACAACCTTGCTGCTCACGTCAATCACCTCGTGCAGCGCATGGTCCTGCATCACGACGCCAGTACCAGAGATGATGGATGAAAAGTGTCAGCGAATCATAAAGCCTTGCGAAATGAAGGAGAGGCGTACGAAGTAGACTTGCGCAGACCGCGGATCCCAGCAGTCATACGGGTACTGGCCAAGCAGACTCTTTAGCACGTCCTCCCTACTTCCCACCAGTCCCGCCGCATCTTGGCCCGTCTGGCATTAGTTCGGCGGCCGGCTCGATGGTAGTCCTGCCATAACTCAGGCTCCACCAGCGGGGCGAAGTCAATCAAAATAATGTCACAGTAAGGCATGACCCCGTTGAAATACTCGGTCGGTAGGGAGCTGAGGGCGGAAGGCGCGAGGTGTAAGCAGTTGAACAACGAGGACTGGGACAGCCACAAAGTACGCTCTTCCAGATTCGGAAGTTGTCGCACTGGAACGTTTGAATCACGATCTTGGATGCACTCAGTTTCAGTTCTTTGCGTTGTCATTACACTGATAGATAGTGAGATTCAGATAAGGAGTACGGAAGTGAAGAAGCTGCACCAGACTCACATCGACATGAACAGAGATTTGTATGCATCATCATTGAAGAAACGTTTCTCACCAAGTTATTACAAAAACACTGTGTGTATAATACTAACGTAGTGAAGAAGGTAACGTGCAGTATCCTTCTCCTAATGTCAAATTCACACGCAGATCCCTCCGTCAATATTGTACAACCTCTAACGAGCTTCGCAGTATTCCGTGCAGGTGTAACCTCGGGTTTCCCTGAGCCAGCGCATACGCTATGACGTTTGCAGATTATCATTTCGCACTCTTGCCTTGCTTCGCCTCTTCGAAGAAAGCGTGAATGTCGGATTCGGTGACTTCGCGGCCTTGTTCTGCGATCGGACGAAGATGCTTCAATAGTTGGTCGCTAATGTGAGAATCGTAAGCGCATGTTCAGTAAAGTCGAGCTGAAAGAGTATGCCCAAAAGCCACAGGGCATTCACTGACCGCATCTCGTTGAAGGCATGTATGCCGTTTATGGCGCGCTCGCGGGGGATGCTTTGCAATGCACGAAGTCCAAGCTCTTCCAAAGACAGCGCTGGTTTAAAGTATGAGAACGCATCAAAAAGGAGTTTAGGGGGAGGTTCAGACGCGTACCTGAGTCTGGATCTTCAGGCGGTTCGTAGGTCTCTTCCTCCTCTATGAGATATGGATGGGCCTCAAGAGAAGAACTACACTATTAGGCAAATTCATGATTAGAAACGTTTACGACGCATTGCAAAACGAAGGCTCACATCACTACACCTACACCACCGTTCTCGGAAACCTTCAGTTAAGAATACATCTCCAGCTCCTTCTAATGTATCTGCTCGCACACCGCTGTGACTATCAGTAGAGAGAATGACTTGTGTTGCGGGGCTGGGAGGCGGGGCCAAACATCGTGGGCTTGAGCCTGCTCCGCTAGCCTCTTGTCCGGTACCCGTTTCCGTCAAGTCTGCGGAAGGGGAAAGTCGATGGCGTTTCGTGCTTGGGCCGTCCTCTACGGAAGGTGATCTTGCGCGTTTTACACCCGTTGACACGCTCAGCTCAGATATTGAGTCGACGTCTACGTGCGTTAGCTCGTCCTCAGGCTTCCCTATGACTTTCCAAGGCTGTTCAGATGCGTCGCGAACGACCATAAGCGCGCCGCTCGTTCCTGCGTAGCGTCGAACAATGTCTATCTTCCGAACGCAGTCTGCGCATACGAGGGAGTCATATTCATC